ACAGAACAGGCCCCAGGCAGTCCAGGCAGGGGGGTGGCACAGAACTGGGCGGGGGGGAGGGTGCGTGTGTGAAGGAGGCCAGCCCTGTGCTTGCAATGAATGGGGGGCGGTTAGGGGCTTGTTCAGGAATGAGAAAAGCAGGAAGGCTGAGTCACCCACACAACCAGCCGCCAGCTGTTGGGCAGTTCTAGCCCCGTTCGCTCTTTGTGATTTCGTCTCACCTCAAAACACAGCGAGGAGGTGCGGCGTGCGGGCGCGGCCGGGGCATCCCCAGTGGACACGGAGGAAGGGAAAAGGGCTCCGCTCCTCTTCCTCCCTGTCGCAAGACGGAGCAGGCCCACTTCCACATTTGCAAACAGAAACATTTACTTGAACTATGTACAGGCCATCGGGGCCATCCTGGCCGACAGGCTCCCCCCCCCTCTCACACACACACACACACAGGTGGACCCACACCGGTGCTCCCTTCCTTCCGTTGGCCGCTCACGGCAGGAGCTCAATGAGGCGCCGCACCTCCCCCACGCCGGTACACCCTTCCACCCTTCCTTCCGTTGGCCGCTCATGGCAGGAGCTCAATGAGGCGCCGCACCTCCGGGAGGCCAGCTACGTCTGCTTGGAAGGTGGAGAGGACCTGAGAGGAGGAAGAGGAGGAGGAGGAAGAAGCCTTGGAAGGTGGAGAGGACCTGAGAGGAAGAGGAGGAGGAAGAAGGAAGAAGAAGAAGCAGAGGGGTTTAGGGACCTTGCCGAGGTCTCTCTCGACCAGCCACTCCAAAAAGGGGGTCTACTTTTCCTACAACTGTTTGGAAAAAGGAGGAGAGGCATTTTCATGGAGCGGAGGGGGGGTCGCTTTATCTCACACCCCACCCCCACACACTGTGCTTTTAAACAGGTTTGTTTGCAGTTTTAACAGGGAAGTCTGAGGGGAGTCTGTTTAATTAATATTACCAGCCCTCTGGGTTTTACTCAGAATCTCTACCAGGGCCAAATTCCACTCCCGGGAGAGCGGAGGGGACCCGAGGGCTGGGCTCGCTCACCTCCTTCATCTCCGCCTCGGCCTTCTCGTGCTTCTTCAAGGCCTGCTTCGCCTGGTGCAGCTGCCCTTCCAGCTTTCTCACCTGAAAAGGTAGAAGAGGGCCGGAAGAAAGGCCACGTGGGAGGATCTGCAGCCCATCGCGAGAAGGGCCAGGGCTCAGTTTTGAGGTTGCCAGGGGCTGGGCCAGGGGACCCTTTCAGCTCCCTTTCAGCCAGCTCTACCCACAGCTGATCCTGTGGACCTCGGCTCAAAAGGAGAACTCACCCCGCGCCAGAAGGAGCCTTGCTTTTCTACTATTCACGTGTGTTTTAGAGCCCTTCTATGCAATTTTTAAAACAATCCCCCATGGTCTCAAAGAGGCCGAGCAGTAAAAACAGATACAAAATTCATCAGCCATTTAAAAAAAAAAATCAATCAACAACCAAACCGTCCAAAAGTAAAAACAGAATAGGAGCCATAAAAATAAATAAATAAATGAAAAAAAAATTTAAAAAGCTTTCACTGAAAACAAGGGCCGATGAAAAACCTCAAAGATGCCGAACTCCTGGGAGATGCCCGGATCGACGGGGTGACGTCTTGAGCCACTGACGGAAACTCCAAACGTTGGGAGTCAGATTTATATACCCTCATTTCACTCTATTTCTGTCCCAAAATGGGAGCCAGGTTGGTTAAGATAAGGCCAGCAGGAAGGCCATTCCACACAAGGCAGGGGCCACGACCGAGAAGACCCTCCCTCTCTGAACCTCAAAAAAAAAATCAGACTAAATCACGAGCCAGGTGAGCAGATCCCCTCTTCCCAAAAACCAAGACTGGGGAAGGCGATCCTGTGCCAACTGCACAGATGCAAACCAACCCCCCCCCAAACACACACACAAAAGCCCTTACCTGGCACAGGTAACTGGTAGACAGCTCCACGCGCTCCTCGTCCTTCCGAAGGAGCAGGTCCCTCAGTTTCCCCACCTGGAGGGAAGGCAAAAGAGAGAGGAGGTGGTCAGTCGGCCTCTACGCTAGTTGGGACCAATACGTCCTGCAGGATCAGGCCGGCTGCTGCTGTTTTTTAAACTCTTAAGACATCTCATGGGGTCTCTGTGCCCCTTAACGGTGTCCCAAAACACAGCTTTAAAAAAAGAAATTAAAAAACACTGTTCAAACGGGGACAACCTCAAGAAATGTCAAGTGGGGAATTCTGTACCTAAAACACGTCAAATTCTACCCCAAAAGCCACATTTTATGAGGCCGCTTTGTGGAAACGGTCTCGGAAACAGAGAAGCAAACGGAGAGGGGGACCCTTCTGCTTGGTCGGCAGCAAGGCGGCCCACCGCCCGCCCGCCCGGTCTCCCGCACCTCCTGTCTCAGCCACATCTTCTCCTTGACCCAATCCGTGTCTGGCTCCTTGGTGCCGCGCAGCTCTTCCCACAGGACCGAGGTTTCCGTCTCGGACTTCTGGAGCGCGTACTTCAGCTGGGAGACCTCCTCCTCCAAAATCTGGGGTGTGGAATAAGGTAGAAAGAAGGGAGAGCGGGGTCGGCCGCTGCTTAAGAGCAGGCCCCTCGACTCTTCGCCCAGGAAAGTCCGTCTGGGGGCAGGAGGGGGTGCCGCTTTCCTCCTCCGAGTGGGAAAAGCAGGACATAATAAATGATGCAACCCTCGGTTTGGAAGTACGGATAGGAGGACCATTCCCACCTCGACCAGGGGCAGGTCTTTGGCAAAGCCAACGGCTCTTAATGGCTCACAGGAGGTCAAGCCACCCGCAAATATTTTTGGAGACAAAGAGACATGCTCACAACAATACTCGCTTGGCGATGTTTACATGTAAGATTTACAAGCCACTTTTTCGCAGACAGTTCTTCATTCCACGAATGGGCAAATTCTGCAACTGGTTTGTAATATTGATTTGGTTTCGTTTCCTGCTGTAGCCTAAATCCAGCTGTCAGGCCCAAACGGAGTAGACCCACTGAATCGAGGAGATTTCCCCCAAAGGCCAAGCAATCATTCAGCAATGTTGGGTTTATGGGTTTCGTGATATCCTGATATTTTAGGGGTTTTATGCTTGGGTCTCGTAAGCGGGCCAGTGAGCTTCAGTGAGTGGGACAGACACGCCACTGAGTCAAGTACAATCAAGAAGGAGTTAAACGGGAAGACACCCCCCCCCAGACGTACACTGACTTTCCACCTGTGGTCAAGCAGACTCCGCATCCTCTCCTCCTGCTGTCTTACGGCCTCCTGCAGTTCCTTCTCGTTCTGAGCAAAAGGGAGAGAAGGGGAAGAAATACTGCATTGTTTTTTTTAAAGGAACAGCAACACCATACGAGCCACCCAAACCCAGCCAAAGTCTTGTGAGAAGGCACGCCTCCATCTCAGGCCTTGCTAAGCTTCTAGCCCTCATGCCCACCAGCACAGCTGAGGGCCAGCCAGCGGGAAGCTGGAATGGCCGCTTCCTTTCTGCCCCAAATACAACCTCGTCCTTGTCTGGAGAGAAAAATCCCAGACAAAGCTCAGCGTTCGCCGCAGAGCACAGACTGAATCTACCAGCAGGCATCCTCTAGCTGGCACACCAAGGGTTAAACCGGGGGGTGGGTGACGAACAACCCGCCAGCTATTGCTGGGGCACAACTCTTGGCTTGCCTGAGGCCGCACAACTGGTGGGAGTTCTAGCGCTCAGCATCCGGGAGGCACCATGAGGAGCAGTAAACAAAGGCGGGCCGAGTCAAGAACGGTCTAGACTAGAAGAAGGGTGCTTTGAGCTTGCACCCGACCAGATGCAGCCAGACTCTACCTCTCAGCCCCCTCTCCTCCCCTTTGCCCCGCCGGCTGGGGCCAATGGGACACTGAGAAGGTCACACTTTGCCCTGAGAGGACGGCCCCTGCTTCCCCTCCCTCCACCTCTCTCCAGAAAGACTCGATTCTTTGCCACGGTGATTTCCATGTAGCAGGGAGTTCCATGGGTCATTTTTTCCTCATGTGGACAGAACAAGGTTGGAGAGGAAAGGTAGATCCTTTGAATACCTCTCCCTGAACGCCTGTTGGGATTCTGACCGTGACAGCACAGAAAAAGGAAATTTATTTTTTTTAATGCGACCTGGAGGAGGACGCACTCGGGTTGGGACGAAGGGCCGCTCCCGCCCGGCTGCCGTGCCCTAGAAGTGGCTCCCCGGTGGCTTGGCACCCCAGATTTAGCCCATGCCCCGCGGCCGCCGCCCGACCCAGATCTTCCCCCTTCTCTGCCGCTCACCTGGATCCGCACTTGGAGGGCCTTGTGCATCTTGGCGAGGCTGGCCGCCCCAGCCTCTCTCTCTGCCTGGAGCTGGCTCTCCAGGTCATCCGAGCGCTGCTGGAGCTGAGCGCTGCCAGGGGGGGAAGAAACACAAGGCCAGACCGTCAGGAAGACCCCAGTTCGAATCCCGTCATGAAAGAGGCAAGGGGCCAGGAGAAATGGGAGGGGGAAAGCCGGTCGCATCCTCACATTTTGGCTTGCAGGCCTTGGGCTTCCTCTCGCACAACCTTCTGGCGCTGGGAGCTCAGGAGGCGGATCTGGGCTGCCACCTCCTTCAGGTCCTGGACACAGGCGGCAAGGTCCTCTTGGATGTCTGCCGTGGGAACACGTGTGCACACACAAACAAGCCCTTTCAACACCTCGCCCACCTGCTCTGCAGGCAAGGAGGCCTGTTTCCCTCCCGTAAGGAAAAGGGGGAGAGCTAAGCTTCTCAGCGGGTTCAGAGGTCGGAAGCCCCGGATTCGAATCCTGATTCGAAAGGGGGGAAGGGGGGGCCATTGCCCGCTTGCCTTGGAGGGGTGTTTGTGAGAGGAAAGGATCAGAAAGTAAACAAGACATCCAGAGAGCGCCAAGCGGGTCTCGGAGAAGCCTGGACTGTGGCCAGGTGGGGCGAAAAAACCATCCTGCAAAGTTATGGGGCACACGAGAGAGGAAGGGGAGAGACCCCCCCGCCTCCAAAACAACCTCTGGGAGTCCCAGACCCGCTTGCCTTGGAGGGGTGTTTGTGAGAGGAAAGGATCAGAAAGTAAACAAGACATCCAGAGAGCGCCAAGCGGGTCTCGGAGAAGCCTGGACTGTGGCCAGGTGGGGCGAAAAAACCATCCTGCAAAGTTATGGGGCACACGAGAGAGGAAGGGGAGAGACCCCCCCGCCTCCAAAACAACCTCTGGGAGTCCCAGAGCCCAGGAAGGCACGCGAGAGTGGAAGGGGAGAGACCCCCCCCACCTCCAAAACAACCTCTGGGAGTCCCAGAGCCCAGGAAGGGGAGCGAGGGAGCAACCCGTCGCTTGCAGCACCTGATGGGGTCGGGGGGAGCGCGGGGGTGGCCTTCGCAAACGCCGTGGTCGCGCTCCAGATGCCCGGGGTCTCCGAACCTGGACAGCAAACCGAGGAAAGCAAGGAAGGTGGTCATTAGAAGGTGAGGTTGCAACAAAAAAAAAAATGTCCCCCCCCCGCAAAATCAGCCAGATCTCCAGGGATAAAAATTGTCAGGGGAATTGAAAACCAGTACCACTCCCCTCAATTGCTCCCCCCTCCCAATGCCAATTAAATGAGCTGGAAACATCCTCCTCCCCCCCTTACCTTTCTCTGCCACAGCCTTCAGGACACTGTCCACTAAGGAGGCTCCCGAACGGTGCGGAGTGCGCCAGGTCGGAGTGTAGCAGCTGCTCCGCGGGGCTGCGTCGACCGCCTGCAAACAGCCACAGTGTTCGGGGGGGGGAGAAGGAAAGCAGACACCTCCCCCACCCCCAGATTGGCCCTCCTGAAAAGCCAGATCCATCAAGGTTTGCTCACTCCCGAGTTGTCACTTAACGTTGCCTGGTTTTGAGGGAGATTATAAGAATGGGCGCCGTGTTTTCCTCTGCCCTCCTCGTCGCCTCTTCCTTTTGTGCCGTGGCTTTTCAGGATAGCAATCTCCCCCCCACACACACACACACACAAGGGCAGGGGCCACTACTATGGTTTTTAGAAACAGCGGCAATCTCCCCCCCACACACACCCACACAAGGGTAGGGGCCACTACTATGGTTTTTAGAAACAGATCAGTACGATCCTCACCTCGCCCGGCAGCGCCATCCGGAGAGTGTCGGCCACGCCCAGGAATTCTGCGTGAACCGCTCTGATCTGCTGCAAAGACCTGGCAAATGCCTCCAGGTGGGCTTGGATGCTCTGGAGCTCGGCCTCGGAGCTGGCCAGACGCCTGCCGAGGGCCTCCCGTTCCTCTCTGGGGGTGGGGGAGAAAGAGACAGAGAGAGGGAGAACATGGACCCCAGACCCCCCCAACGGGATGATTTCTTTAGAGGAAGCCGGAAAACCTGGGAGGGGAAGGGAGCGTGGCCACCGGGCAGCCTGCACCTGTGGTCTCTGCGAGGTAGGACCCCTTCAACGGCCCCATCGGTGGTTTGTCGTGTATTTAGGGTGAGAAAACCCCGGGGTCCCCTTTTCAAGCCCCATCGGCCCCTCCAAACGGCTGAATAATATTATTCCTGCTTTTTAAAAGCTCAGATCCTCTGTTCAAACAAGGGACGTGGCAGTACGGACCGGCTCCGGTGGGCTAGGCAGGACTGTGTGTGTGTCAATCTGAGGATATTCTGTCCCTACTGTGACCCCCCCCCATCTTCAGACGTGGAGGAAATCCAGACCCCACAACACTTCCTTAAGGAGTGACACCGACACCCTTCTGGAAAAGGTAGTTTTGGCGCCTTAAAAAATCACAGTCCAACACGACCAGCGGTCGAAAGAGGGAAAGGGACCGGCCTCAAAAGCTTGGCCATCCGTGCAGAAAGTGGCGTGCGACCGCTGACCTCCCCCCCCCAGATGCGGATGGAGCACCGTACCCATCCTCTCTAGCCGAAAGCAGGGAGCGATGGGAGACGGAGTCCACCCAAATCCAGAAGGCCACCAGCGGCCCCACCCGGCGGGCCACGTGGAAGGCAGCCGTCACGAGCCTTACTGAAGGGCGGCGTGGGCGTCTTTGAGGTCCTCGAGGTGCATGGTGCGTTCCCTCAGGGAGGCCAGGGTGGTCCTCAGCTCCTCCTCCGTTTCGGCCAGTTGACGGCGAGTGATCTGATTCTCCTGCTCCATGAACTTGGGAAAGAGAAACAAGGAAAAAGAAAGAAAGAAAAAATAAATAAAATAAAAGAGGGTAGGTGGAAATCATCAACACCCTCATCATCTTGGAACGGCAGAACAGGACGGGACCCTACAGATAGATCATGGGAATCCAGCCTCTGTCACAGAGGCCCAGCGGGGGATTCAAACTCCCCACCTTTGGGTCTGCAGCCAAATATCTCAACCCTCGAACTCTCCAGCAGCTCTGGGCAGAAATTGTGTCTGATTTCTCCCTCTGCCCACCATTCCCTGATTTAACCGCTTCGTTGCACAATTTGCATAAATACAAACATATAATAAATGTATACTTAAGCTTTCCCATGCTTTTTAAGACCACCCCCCCCCCTTCAAGCAAATCTCTCCCAGCATCTAGAAGAAAGTGGCCTGTCATTTTAAAACATGCGCGTCTTTGGAGTGACGACGAGGGCAGAAAAATTTGGGTATTCTGGCTCGTCCATTCTGGCACCTGGAAGCCATCGTAGGAGAGAGACCGCGGAAAGGGCTTGCTGTGGTATTTCGGCACGTCTGCTCCGTTATCCGCTCCAGTAAATAAACGAGCAAATAGGAAGTGGTGCCGGATTCCGCTTCGCCTGAGGCTTTCCGGCAGAGGCGGCACAGCCATTTCTCAAGCGCTGCTTAGCTGTGAGGGTCCTGCTTCGTCGGGGTGGGACTAGATGACCACACGGAGACCCTTTCCCAGCAACAAACCTGAGCCCCCCCCCCTTGTTTAAGGACACACCCTGTTACCTCTCGGCAGTCGGACATTTCACGAGCGTCCTGCTGAGCTGCCGTGCGCTCCTTTTCGGCCCTTTCCTTCTCCCGTGACAGCCTAAGAAAGCAGAAACCGCCCAGGTAAGAAAAGGAACCCTCGTCCTTTTACCAAAACACAGCCTGCGTTCGGCACTGCCCGGCGGGAAGTTCACCTAACAGCCCTTTTTTAACGACAACCTTTTCGGCAAGGTTTCTAGGACAATTTGCAGGAATAAAAAAAGGAACAAGGCCAGTATGAATAACTCCCAACGTGACGGTCGTAGTCGCACCGGGCAGTGGTGCTTCAAAGCTGGGTGAGTGGGTGAGGATGTGGGAGTCCTGGATTCGAATCCCCACACTCGGCTACAAAACGTCCCCGGTCTGAACGTTTAGAACCTCAAAGGGCTGCAACTCACTATTGGAACAAGAGCCCAGGAGTGGAAAATGAGCTCAGAAGGGGAGAGGGCACCCCACGGTTTAGAGGAGTGTGTGAAAAGTTCGCACTGAAAACCAGAGTGGATCCACGCCTTCCCCTGCTTACGCCCAGCAGGGGTTTCCGTATGTGAAAGGCAATGTCCCCTCTCACGGCGGGTCCAAAGTGGAGATGCTTGGCTTCCGGGTGTCGGATCCGGACTTAGGAGGAGAAAGATCTGGCCTGGAATCGATACCTCCGATCAAAGCAATGCGGGCAGCAGAAGGAAGCCCGTCTCCTCCAGAGGGTGGACTCCAAATCCCATCACAATCTCTAGGCAGGGATGATGGGCTGTGTGGTCCAAGCCATCCATGGAAGGTGAGGCTCAGCTAGGCAGACCTCGGCAGGCTGGCAAGGCGAATGCCAGGCCGAGAGCAAACGCAAGACCTGCTCACCGCGCCACAGCCTCCTCCAGCGTCCGGATTGTGTCCTGTTTTTCCACCAGTTGCTGGGAAAGGCCCTTCGCCTCTAGGTGCAGCTGCTGCTGCTCGCCCTCAGCCGTGGTTGCTCTCTGCAGGGCGGCCGCCAGCCCTGTGGAAACAGCACCGATCCAGCCATTGGCTTGCTGGCTGCCAGCACCGCTGTCGAAGGAAACCTCCCTCCCCTCAACTCATGAACTCTGCCCGGTTTTAGAAAAAGGCGCAACACCGGCCCCGTCCCTGAAGCTTTCTATGTAAAAAGGCACGACAGAAAAGGAAAGCAAGATCCGGAGGGCAGAGGAAAACAAACAAACAAACAAACAAAAAACACTTATTTGATGGGAAAGCCAGTGGGGGGAGGGGGGAGGACAGCCGTCCCTCATCTGATGGATGCCCGTGGTAGCACAGCCACGTGATCACCCTGCTTAGGGGATTGTGGGAGTTGTAGTCTGATGCCCCTGAAAGACTCCACAGCTTGGGGAAAGATGACAAGGTCCTAGACTCAACCATTCCACATTTTAACACTTATAAAAAAAAGTGAAGAGAAACATAGGGGTGGGTGAATGTTACCTTTCTCCAGGCCAGCGTTGGCCTCCACCAGCTCATTCACGCGTCCCAACGCGGCCACCACCTCCACCGTCCTCTCCTCCAACTTCTGGCACACCTGCATGAGGAAAAGGCCGGGGGTGGGGGCGCAAAAAAGGACATCGTCTACATTGGGGCAGCCTAGTTTTAAAGCAATAACGCTAAATTCATACGTATTTCTTTGGATGAAATCCCACTGCAGCCAGGCGCCGTCCTTGGCCGAGATTCAGACCTTTTTCAGTACCTCTGCTCCCCATAACGAAGCAACGCGGAAAAGGAGGTGCGGCCGTCTGGGGGCCGCAGAACACGAAAAGCCGTCCACGTGTCCCCGTTTTGTGGCAGGCCCAAGCTTTAACTTTTCATAATAGGCACCACACCGACCCGGCTTTTCTTGCTGCTAAATTCCAGTTCTCCCACTCTCCTGAAGGTTTCCGGGGGGGGGTGTGTCCCACCGTGGGGAACCGCGTCTCCGTTCACCCCCAGCCCCACACTTGCCTCCCGGTGCTGCTCCGTCTCCTCCCGGGCAGCTCGCACGTCCTTCGCCATCTGCTGCATCTTGACGGCGCATCTGGAGATCAAACTCCTGAAGGCCTCATACTGTCGAGAAAGCCCAGAACTCCGTTAGAGGATGTGGGGGGGGGAAGGCGAGTAACTCCACGCCCACCAAATCTGAAGGGGCTTTGCTCTGTTGCTAAGCTGGGGAGGGGGAAATTATCTCTTGGACTACAACCTCCAGAATCCCCAGTCGGGGAGGATGGGGTATGTAGGGCCTGGGTGTGTATTGTGGGTGCTTTGTTCACTTACGTCAAGCCGCATCTGGGCATAGCGGTTTCGCAAGGCGGCCGCACGGGCGTCTCCCTCTTCGACAGACTTCCAGGACCCCAGAGAAAGAGCCCTCTGTAAAAATCAAAAAATAAAAATAAGAGAGGAAGGAGCAAGGAGGGTTCCTATAAAACTGAGTGCCTGCCGGATGGGGCCCTTCAAAGGCTGGAGAGAGAGGGGAAAAGAGAGAGAAAGAAAAGGGGGGGGAAGGTGGACAGCACCTTTAACACAAAGCTCATAAAGTCTAGCCTGGACTTATTTCACCTGTGGTTAATTGATTCGGCTGCAAGCAGAGCCTCTGATCTGGACGGCTTGCGTTGCTTCGTTCTCCGGGTCCCACAACCGCCCCGAGAAACCAGGGCGGGCGGCGTGAATCTAGAGAGGTGGCGGCGTATTTCTGCCTGTTGATCCACAGGCCGACTGGGTACCCACCAGTTCGCCCAGGGCGTCCGCCAGCAGCCGGGCCAGATCCTGCTGGCTCTCGCGGCTCCGTCGCAAGGTCTGGAATCGCCGCCCGAGGCCCGCGCAGAAATCCCGATGGAGCTGCTCCTCCTGCGGAAAGAGGCGGCGCTGGAGAGAGGCGGCCAGAGCAGGCGGCCGGGGGCCCCTTGGTGAGCTCAGAGGGAGCCCCGGAGGGGAGCCGCCCGACACGGACTCGGGGAATCGCAGGGAGGAGCCCGGGCCGCATCGACGACTGGGGCAAATGGGTCCTCATGAAATATTTAGGGCTTACAACCCCCACCGGCCCCAGGAAGCACCACCGCCAAGGGCCAAGGTGGGCGAGAGGGGTCGTCCAGATGCCTGGTCGTCACAGAGACGCGCCAGCCACTCACTGCGATCTGGCCGGTGCAGATTTTAAAAAGGTTTGTATCACACCTCTTTTAAACAGATGTGCCTGAACCAGGAAGAGCAGGTCCCTCAAAATCCTGAATTCCACACCCCTTCTTCGCTGCTCACCCTGCCAGCTTACACGCAGACAGGCCCCTCTTCCCGAACCGCAGGGGCTGAAGCCTCCCCCTCTGCTTCGCCTCCCCGAAAGGGACTTGAGCCGGGGGGGTCACCCCTACGGCCGCGGGCGGCCAGCTGAGAGTAACCGGCCCTGACAGCTGGTCAAGGCTGGCGACGCTCAGCATGCGGCCTGGCCGCGTGAGCGATCCAGGTTTCATCCGCTCCCGTCCACCCCCCCCCCCCAGGAGATCCTTCCCAAAGCGTGGCTCAGACAGACGGAGGCCAGCCCCGGTGGATCCGGTAAAGCCTCCCGTAGAAAAAAGAGGGTTCGCCTTCTCCCTCCCCCCCCTCGGACGCCAAGGACCCCCACGCACTCTGAGTCCCTTCTGGCCGGGCAATTCGGAGATGCCTGTCCTGGAGGCAGGAGAACAGCCACAGACCGAGGTGGCCGCACGTCAACCCGAGAAGAAGAGGGTGGCCATTCCAGGGACCCTCTTTTCCAGCTCAAAAACCTGGCATTCAAGTACGTTTAAGTGATCGCCGGGGTCTGGAAACTACAGTTCCCAGAATTCCCCTCTCCCCCCAATGCCTTGGATCGATCCTGCCACTGCTCAGGATAAAGAAGCCTGAGCTACGACTGCCAACGCATTCAACTCGACTAAATCAAGAAACTAAACCTCATGGCTCTTAATAGAGCCCATTTATACCAGTTCTTTGTTAAGAATCACGAGAGCTAGGATCTTTTCTTTAAATCTAGTGGAAGGTGCTGGGCCTCGGTGGCTCAGGATCCCACCCACCCCCACCCACCCCGGCTCTGTCTCCTTCCCATGCCCCAAGAAAAGCTAGAAAAGGAATCAGCCAAGAGGGTGTATTTTGAAACCAGTGCTTTTCGGCCTCAAAAACATACTTGCTTGGGATACAGGTAGCTGTGGCACCACTTACCTGTTTAGGATCCGACACGGGAGTCTGAGTAGACACATCTCTCTGGTCTGCCGGCCCCACGGCTCCCGTCGGCTGCCAGAGATCCCGACCAGCCCGTATCTGGCGTGAGAGGGCCTCCATGATGATAAGGGTGCTCTCAAGGCGCCCTTCCAGCTCCCCTCTGGACAGGCCGCTCAGCTGCTCCCGGGAGCAACTAAAAATAACCACAAGATCATTTGCTCAGGGCCTAAAGGACGATCCACGTTGCGTACAGAACATTTCATCTGGGTTCAATCCCTTGTGCCTCCTCTCTGGAACAACAGGGTGCCTGGGTTTCCTTGTTTTCCTCTGCCCTCCTCCTCACTTTTTCCTTTAGTGTTATGCCATTTTAGCCAATTATATCTCTTAGGGCAGAGACTGCTTTATCTTTCCATAGATAGAGAGATAGACAGATAGACAGATAGACAGATAGATAGATAGATAGATAGATAGATAGATAGATAGATAGATAGATAGATAGATAGATAGATAGATAGATAGATAGATAGATAGATATGACAAGCATCCTGAAAAATCATGCTAGGGCTTATTTTCAGGTTAAGTCTTATTTTCGGGGAAACTGGGTAGATAGATAGATATTCAGATATAGAGCAAAATGTGAGTTCCATAAACACAGGAATCCACATTTCTGGGCGCCCTCCTCTTCAATCGAGAACTAGCTTCATCACTTTATTACGGCTGCGAGAGCCGGCGTGAGCGTCAGACTTACTGCCAGAGGAGAGAGTCCGTCTCGGCCGTGCTGTCTTTGGTGACGGCTTTTTCCTCCGCGGAGGTGTTCACGCCGGCGTCCAGGCAGGCCGGAGGGGAGGTCCAGGTGGCGGCCGACACCGTGGGGACGGGAGTGACGCTGACCCCCTTTTCCTGACGCTGGAGGGAAGGTGTGTTTGGGCCGGGCACCGACGCACCCGGGAGGCTTTCCTGGGCCTCTGCAGACGCTGTACGGACCGCGGGCACGCCGGCGCCCTTTCGCCCCGAGAAGAAGACGGAGGGTCTCGGCTCCGGAGATTCACCTGGCCCAGCCTCCAGGAGGCTCAGAGGGGACGTCCAGAAGCCATGGCAGTGGCAGCCGAGGGGCAGGATCCGGGAGCTCTCGCTGTGACACGAGACACGACCTTTTTCCTCCTGGAAAACAGTCCGGCCAGCCTCCGGGCCGTTTGGAAGGGAGGTCCCGGCGGCTGCCGGGGCCAGGGAGAGCGGGGTGCTGGTGCAGGCGTCCTGGGGCCAGAGGGGAAGTTTTTCCTCCACGGAGGTGTGCGCGCTAGCCTTGGAGACTCTCGGAGACGCCCCACCGATGGGCGAGGGGGCAGAGTCGGCCTGCTGCCAAGGGAGACTTTTCTCCACCAGAGAGAGGCCCATCCCGGCCTCCAGAAGGCTCAAAGTGGAGGGCATCCGGGTCTCCACAGACCCCGCTGGCGTGGGGGAGACCCATGTCCCTTCACCGTCATGCAAAACAGGGACTTCTTGCTCCAGAGAAGCGTCCACGCTGGCCTCTAGCAGGGCTGGAGGCGACGGTGGGGTCAGCCCAAACGGCTTGGGGGCAACGCTCCCCGCTTCCCCCTCCCGCTGCAAGACGGAGTCTTCCACCTCTGCTGAGGGGGTGTCCCCAACCTCCGGGAGGTTCCCCAGAGCCCCCCAGCTTGCCGCAGACCCCGTGGCCAGAGGGGTGCCGCCACACCCTCCCTGTCCCGGGACGAGAGCCCTCCCCTCCGAGGAGCCGGTCCTTGGAGCATCGAGGAGGCCCAGAGGAGACGCCGAGACCTCTGGAGAGAGGGGTGAAGCGGGGCCGCCACCAGCCCCCTCGCCTTGCCACAAAAGGGGGGCGCTTGATTGCAGGGAGGTGCTCACACCCGCCTCTGAGAGGCCTGGGGGGGAACGCAGGGTCTCCCCAGAAGCCGCCGACCCGGGCCTATCGGTGCCCACCCCCTGTTCCGAAACAAAGCTTTCTTCTGGGCAGGAGAAGTGCCCTCCAGCCTCCGGGAAGGGTGGGGGAGAATTCAAGACCTCCCCAGCAGCCACAAAGAGCGGGGTGCTGGGGTCCCCCTCTTTTTCCAAGGCGGGGGAAGGCGCTCCTTCTTCAGATGGGGTCAAACCGGCCTCCGGAAGGCACGGAGGGGGTCCCGGAGTCTCTGCATCCGAAGCGGGAACCAGGGTGCGCTTGGAGGCCCCGCTTTGCTCTAAGGGGGGAGATTTCTCCTCCAAGCAGAAGAAGATGCTCGTAAGACCCTCGGGCGGGACGGACGCGGGTGGACGGACCTCCGGAGAAGCCACCACGTCCGGGGTGGGGGGAGGCTCGTCCCGCAGACCCCCAGGGCCTTCCTCCTCTGGGGCCACAATCCCACCGGCCTCCGGGAGGCCCGTAGGGGACACCGAGACCTCCCCCTTCTCCTTGGGGAGGCTTAGAGGAGGGGCCCAGATCGGTCCAGAGAAAAAGGAGGGAGAGGCTCCGGCGCTCGGATCGGGCCGCGGCAGAGGCCACGGGAGGCTTCGCCGCAGGTCTTCGAGGAGAGGGGAGTCCGGGAGGATCTGCTCCAGCCACACAAGGGGGGCCGCCCAAGGGAGGGTCCCCAGCGCCGGCATCTGGTGGTCCTCAGCCTCCGTGCTGGGAGAAGCAGGGCCCTGCGGGAGAACACGTCAGGCGGGACATCAGTCGGAGGGGGGGACCCCGAGGGTTTGGGGCTTCGGAGGGAGGAAGGAGGACCCCGGGGACGAAGGCCTTCCTAGCTGAAGCAGAGCTTGGAAAAGACCGTTGAGGTTTGGTTGCTCGGGGGGGGGTTGGCTTTGGAATCAAAAAAAGGAACTTTTACAGTTCTGGTTTTAGGGGGAAGGTTCGTCCCTGCCCAAGGAAGGCCCCCCCACACACCCCAAGAGCAAAAGGGCCATTGCCGGACCTCCCCCCCTCAACACACACACACACACACGTGGAATGCCGTGTGTGGCGAAACGTGTATTTATTTCACATATTTCTATCCCGCTTTCCTCCCCAAAAAAGACCCCAATTCTTTCCCCTGGCCCTGCACAACCGGGCATGCATTTACTCAGGAGTAAGCCCCGCTGAGCTCAAAGGGGGTTTCCTTCTGAGCAAAAAAACACCGACAGAGACGGTGGGGGGGGGAGGGGCCCAGGGCGGGCAGGAGTCAGGATCCAGAGAATCCAAAGCGCTAGTCCTCATGGAGCAGCCCAATGCAGGCAGGCAGGCGTGTGTGGGGGCACCCTTCCCCCCCCGCGAGACCTCCTCCTTCCTCCTTCCCTAGACATAACGCGTTACTTTCTTTTCTGAACCCCACCCCAAAGCAGGAG